TGACAAATTAATCTGAATGTCTAATAGCTGGAAGATGGCCTTCTAAAACCTGGATGTAAATTGAGGACCATGATCTGAAATCACATGACTCACTGAGATCCTGTACGTTAAAGTATAGTCTAGAAAACGTTGCACAGTTCGTTGAGCTGATGAAGGGACCTTACAAGGAATGAAATGAGCAACCTTGGTAGACAAATCCACCACCACAAAAATGGTTATGTAAGCCTGTACAGGGGGAAAATCAGTAATAAAATCCCACAGTGCTACTGGTGAAAGAAAGGGCTGAAGCAAAACAGCCAGTTTTCCAGGAACAGCCTTGGCCCAGCAACAAATATGACAAGATGAAGCAGTACTTGACATCCACTCTCATCCCCAGCCAAAATAGCTTTCCCCTACCCAATGCAAAGTTTTAAGCAACCTCCATACCATGTCTAGCAGTTCTGTTGTCATGACAGAGTTGCAACACCTCTTCCCTTAAAGGCAGAGGAACATATATGGAACAACTGGCCATCATTCATAGAAAAGATGAAGACTCAGCTTGTGGGGTTCCCTATAGGTCATCCATTTGAGCCTTGACATATGCTCATGCTGTTATTGTTGCATTCTAATCCAATATAGCAAATCTATAGCCTGTATCCCTGCATCCAATCTTTCTGGAGAATTTCCAAATTCTTGTGATCTGTGTGTACTTATACTGGATGGATTGCTCAGTCTAGGAGTTGCCTCCATCACTGGAACGGTTTTTATTGCAAGCAACTCTTTATTGAAAATGTCATCATTCCATTCAGCTGAGGAGAAGCAATCTGGAATAGAAGCATAGAATGTACATGGCAGATTTCTCTCCCTCCCCCACTTTTCACTGTATGGAGGAGACTGGTTCCTAATGCAAAATGTAAGAGATCTGTTTCCACCACAAGGGGGCAGGAGGGCTCTAGATGTTTGAGCAGTGGCTGTGAAAAGGACTTGCAATTTTTGAGATGCTGCTTACTCTTGAATAGACCATTTGAATTAATGTCCTTTCTTTAAGAGTTGAGACAGCAACCTTATGAACTCTGCAAAGTTAGGGATCACTTTTTATAAAAATTTGCAAAGCCTAGAAAATGCTTGGCATCCTTCATATTTCTAGGTTCTTGCCTATGGATTGTATTTTTGCAGGATCCTGTAACCCAAATAGTCCAATTGGGGAAGATCAAATGCACATTTTTCCAACTTAGCAAAATGTTTGTGTTCATGGAATTGCTCTAAGACATCTCTGACATTAGTCTCATGTAAATATAGGTCTTTTGAACAGATCAGTACATCATCCAGTGCACCACAACACATTTTTCCAAAATATCAGGAAATATTTAATTCATGAATCTGGAGAACTTCACCCTGTAATTAACCAAGCCAATACGTATTACTGTGTATTCAAATTTGCCATCTCTGTTCTCAAATGGTGTTAAGTATTTGTGTCTCTCTTTCATTCTTGATCAAAGTGTATGTGCCTCTCAAGTCCAACTCCACAAAATGGCATGCCTTCTGAAGGCTGTTCAGGAGATCTGAAATAAGAGGCAATGGGGAGAGATCCCTAATGGTTACACTGTTCAGGAGCCTATAGGGATAAAAACATGTTGGTGCAGATGCTGGAGATGTAAAGACAAAAAAAAATTCCTTTCTTCAAATTGTCATCCAGAAATTCTTTTAAAGTGGCTAACTCTTGAGCAGGTAAACAGTATTACCTCTTAGCTGGGACCTGGATTCCTGGCTTCAAGTTCATGGTACAGTCACATGCCCAAAAAGGAGGCAATGCAGTGGCTTCTTCCTCCCCTAATGTATCAATAAAGTCCATCTTTTTGGGAGGCAAGGAAGGAGATTCAGGGAGCTGACCAGAAGAGAATGAGTGGTGAGAGTTGAGAGATGAAAAGCTTGCAAATGATGCTGTTGACATTGTGGCGATGGAAAAGAAATTGTTGCTTACTCCCAGTGAACATCTGGATTCTGCATTTGCAACAAGTTAAAATTACAATTAACTAATTCAAACTGAAAAGGCCTGTTTAGAGAGGAAAATCTTGATTCCTTTCCTAAAAGTAGGAAGAGTGGCTAAGCAGAACTCTAAGCAAGGGTATTCAGTAGCTTGGGAACAATGTAGAGGAAGGCCTTCCCCGTATGTATGACAAACAGACTTCAGAAAATGAGAGCACCTTTAAGAAGGCTTCTGTAGCTGACTATAACTATGACATCTGGCTAATTCATATCAAGACAGACAGTTCCTCAGAACCAAAAACCATCTTGGAAAACTACTGGCAAGTAGTGCAGATTTTTCAACATAAGCATGTTGGATTCAAGATATCATGTACTTGTTAGCAATCTGGCTGCCATGTTTTTCACAAAGTGAAGCTTCTGGACATTCCTCAAGGGTAGCTCCATATAATGTGCAGTGTACTAGTCAAACAGGGATGTAGCTACGACATGGGTAACTATTGCTGGGCCCAGATAGCTCAGAATGGTTACAGTTGCACTCTCAGAGAACGGTTCCACGCTAATCAAGAGCATCATAATCTTCCCTGGGCATATTTTTACTTGTTTACCCTCATTCAGCCTACTATCAAACTTAGTAGTTCAACTGTTTCTTTGGAATTAGATGGCATAGAATATCATGACTGGGTTTACCAGCATACTGATGGGACCTCACTCCAAAACTCTGGATGAGAAAACCTTCTTCAGTAGTTTCTTGCAGATACTGAAACTGCAAAAGAAAAGACTGGAAACACTGCAGAGCATTGTCCCGTGGCCATTCCAGAAGGATACCATGATTATTGGTACTAAAAGCTACCAAGAGATCCAGGAGAATTACCAGGATCACACTCCCATCTATTTATCACTGTAGATCATCTACTAAGCAACCAAAGAATTTTCAGTCCAAGTAAACCTTACTGAAATGGGTCCAAATAATCAATATTCTGCACATGTGTTTGGAATTGCAAGCCCATCATCCTTTTGAGCATCTTTGTCATAAACAATACATTTGAGACTAGCCAATAGTTTCCCAGCTCTTTTCTCTTATGTGTTAAATGTGGACTATCAGGGACTTCTCTCTTGTTTAAGAAGTCATTTGAGAGAGCACAGGCAAGTTTTCCACATCAGAAAAGTCATTTACAGACTTTCAAATGACATTCTCTAATCCTTCTCTACCATGCCAAGAAAGGATACAGACTTACAAGTGGAACCACAGGAAAGAGAAAGATTCCCAAGTCATCAGCATTTTCACAAGTCTGGCAGAATTCTTATCACTTCCCCTAGTTGCTCAATTACTGAATCATCTTTCCAGCATTCCAAGCTTTTAACAGAACTACCCACATTGTTTAATCCAAGCTGCCTTCTGGGGCTCTGGCTCACTGCCAACTATTGACTGACCAGCTGTCTGCAACAATTAACTGTAGTTGGTAGAATTAGATACCCAACCAACAGAAACATCTGGGGATGCATTTCCCCCTCCCCATGGGAATGATTCTGATCAAGAAGAATTGGGAGTACATGTTTGATTCAGCTTTTCAAGGCTCCACCTTGAACTATGACACTTATACCCTCACCCAGCACGTAAGTCAATAGACCATTCAATTACATCATAGCAGCATAACTGGCAACTGATCCGACCTTTATCATGATAGGTGTGAGTTAAAAGGAAAATCTCTTAAATTGAGGAGCGATTCACAAATGCATGTAAATGCATACTCACAAACATCCCTATCCATATTGTACTATGCAGACAGATATACACCAGCCATTTTAAAGATACTCAGGATAGTTTGGAACATTAACAAAAGACAAGAGCAATCAAAGACCACAAACATCTAGCTAAACTAACTTGAAAGTGAACTGGGTATGCAGTGATACAGGCTGCAGTAGCAGCAATGAAATATTGCCAAAAAGCATGGTGGTGGAGGGGGAAGAACTGGGATACAATGTCCAATTAAATTTGAAATTTGCTCTGCTGCCTTTGTTCTTCTACTTGCCTGCCATACGTGCCGCAATTGTTTACAAGTGTCAGGAGAGGAGAAGAACGAAGGAACCTGAGGGTTCATCCTAAAATAGGGATGGCGATTTATAGCTGTTTCATCGGCATTGCCTTGTGATGCCAATCTGCTGTGCCTGACACCACTGGGGCTGGATTCAAAGAATAACAGCAAAGACCTAACCCAACAACTTGCCTGAAAACTACCAATATCTTTCCTTAAAAAGTTTTATGCCATCAAAAAAAGATACCATGAATCCATGTTTAAAGGAGAAAATGCACAGTGAGTAAGCAGTAGAAAAAACAGATGGAAACATCATCACCCACTTCTTCCTCAGAAAAATGATGAACTTCCTTGAAAATGTCGTTTTGCTATATTATGGTCAGAGAGAATAGCAAAAACGTTAATTTCAGCTCAATTTAAAAAGTAGTGTCTGTAGTAAATCAGGAAGTGGAACCAGTCCTATCTTTGAAAAAACAAGAATGCTTTGGGTGTGTTCTTTAAACACTTTTTACAGTGGGAAATCTATTTCTATAATAATGAGTGTGTACTCCTTTTTTGCAATTGTTATTTTGGGGCTGAAACCAAAAAAACAATGATCAGGAGCAAGGCCTGCAGTGCCAAAATGTATTTGTTTCAGCCACAGTCTCAAAGAAACAGATTTGTTAAGCATTTAAAATGCTGCCTGCATTCTCCATGCTGGGAACACTAAAGCAAGGAGCAGGCTGATGCAGAGTCAGAAATCAGCAATTAATGCACTGCACAGTCTGCCAGACATAAAAACAGGGGCATTCCAAGGTTAGAATATGCAGGTATGCTGTCACAAATGCTGACTTCTTGATAATGATGTGTTCTAGTCAGAGCCCTTGCCCTGCCTACCATGTCTCCCATCCATGTGGAACAAGAGAGCTGACTGGGTTCTTTGGCTTCAGAGAAATTAACAAGATGCCCAAACTATACTGTAAACAGGAGATGGAGTAAGAGTTAATTAGCATTAGAACTGACCTGTGAACAAAGGGCATTCTTGTGGATTTTCTTGTAAATAAGAGCTGGGCAGATAAAACAGATGAGACTTCCCATCGTTGCACCTGTTAGGCCCAAGATGGTCTCCACTAGCAGAGAAGAGGAAGATGAAACAAATTATTAGAAGCTCCAGTTAACAGCATATGAATTAACTCTTCTGTTGAAATGATTCAGGAGAAATCTAGAGGCATATACTCAGTCACATAACATGAATTAGATCCTTTTCTACTCTTGATCTAGACTATAAAGAATGGACTTTTTCTGCCTTTCTGCTCTAGGCCTATTGGTGAAGCAGAGATTGTAATCTACTTTAGTAACTGTGCTAAAATAAGCACATCAGCACATTTTTAGTTCCTAATGTGATGAACTAACATCTTTAGCTCCATACTTACCATCACTACAGTGGATTAGGATACTATGTCATCCTTAAGTATGCATTAAAATAGAGTGAAAAGCATACACTTGTCACAATACTTCTGTTTTGATAACAAGGAATGCTTAACAGAATACTGAATTACTTTGATCATATGTACTCTAGTATGAATCCAGGTACTGATTCTTGTACAGGTGCAGGACAAGAATAGGCAAAGTGATACCTCCAGATGACTTCAACTTCCTTAATCCCTTCCACTAACTATGCTGATTAGGACTGATGGGAATTGAAATTAAAGTCATTTGGAAGGCACAAAACAATTGGAAGGTACCTTACTCTGGGGTTCTGACATGGCAGAATCTCAAGGCTGATTGCAAGCAAAAAAATATATATACATATACATATATGTATATACATATATATTTTTTTCCAA